CCCTGCCCGTGTCCCTGGTGTGTGTGTGGCCTGTGCCCTGCCCGTGTCCCTGGTGTGTGTGTGGCCTGTGCCATGCCCATGGCCGCGCTTCCACTAGTTCATGTGAGTCCGCTTCCTTTGGAAAGTGCCAGGGTGTCTGGGGAAGTCAGTTCTATCTCCTTTAATCTTCAACCTGGGAAGGTGGATGGCACTCCTGGGCTTCGCTGTAGGAAGAAGTGGGTTGGGACAAAGATTTCCTGACTCATGTTTAATAGCCAGGAACGCTCAGCACACTTTTCTTGTGTTTTTGAACTTTTAAAGCACTCCTTGGGTACTGGGACTCACATAAATTAGAGTAGCAGAGCTTACAGGGTCTTTCGTCCACTTGAGCAGTGAGCTTGCATTGTGACGTTTGGGTCGTCCGATGCCTGAGGTTTTCTGTGTGATAAGCCCCTCTGTGGCACAGCCTCGCCAGAGAAGTAGAAGAGAATGTGGGTCCCGTGACGGTTAAGACAAATACTATGTTGCTTCTCGGTCTTTTGGCTAAGATCAAGTGAAGACAAATACTATATCGAATAAATACTAAATAAAAGAATTGCTCCAACTGGCTAAAATGAAAAACTCTTTAGATTGGCCGGGCGCGGTGAATCACGCCTGTAATCCCAGCACTTTGGGAGGCTGAGGTGGGCGATCACCTTAGGTTGAGAGTTTGAGACCAGCCTAGCCAACGTGGTGAAACCCCGTCTCTACTAAAAATACAAAGATGAGCCGGACATGGTGGCATGTGCCTATAGTCCCAGCTGCTTGGAGAGGCTGAGGCAGGAGAATCACTTGAACCCAGAGACAGAGGTGGCAGTGAGCCGAGAATGATCTCTGCACTCCAGCCTGGGCGACAGAGCAAGACTCCATCTCAAAAAAAAAAAAAAAAAAAAACCCTTTAGATTTGAGGGAGTTAGGTCAGTATTCAGTAATACTCGTAACCAAATAATTAGCCCTGGCTGGGCGCGGTGGCTCACGCCTGTAATCCCAGCACTTTGGGAGGCCAAGGTGGGTGGATCAGGAGATCGAGACCATCCTGGCTAACACAGTGAAACCCCGTCTCTATTAAAAATACAAAAAAATTAGCCGGTTGTGGTGGTGGGCACCTGTAGTCCCAGCTACTCGGGAGGCTAAGGCAGGAGAATGGTGTGAACCCGGGGGGCGGAGCTTACAGTGAGCCGAGATCACGCCACTGGACTCCAGCCTGGATGACAGAGTGAGACTCTGTCTCCAAAAAAAAACAGCCCTTAATCCATGTAACAGTGATTATTTCTCACACCTAGGTCTGCACCAATGTGGGACCAGAAGTTTACACTGTAGTGCTCAGAGCGAATCTGGTTTCTGGTTTCTGGTTCCTGATGGCCAGGGTTTTGCACCACCCACACCAGTGGTGTGAGGAACTGCTTCCCCAGCCCTGTCCCAGTTGTGTGCATTTAGTACGTTTCTTTTTGTTTGTGCCGCCTGGCACTGGCTGCCCAGTAAATAATGGTGTTTATTATCACCCTGAGTGACACCGATGTTTTTATTGTTGACTTTCACACTCCAGAAGTTAGCTGCAGAGGTGCCATGCTAAAGTCATATTCACACTAGTTTGGGGGATTCGTTTCTGGACAGGATGTTGGGAAAGGGAGAAAGATCTTCCTTTTAGGATGGTGAGAAAGGAAAGCAGGTCTGAAATGGAATGATGAGATATCACTGGAAGCTTCTGCTTGGGGTCCACCAGAAGTTGCACGTTTGCCATTCATCTGAACGGGGTTGAGTTGCAGGGTGGGTGCCTTGTAAGCGTCACACTTTGTTTTGCTGTGAAGGGAATCAAGTGGTGGCTGTAAGATTACCCAGCCAGGTTTTCCTCTCTTGAGACCTTACATCTCTTGTTTTCTTACTGAGGGATTATCTTGTGTTAAAGGGATTTTGTAACAGCATTATGCTTTAGCCATGATTAACCTGAGATCTTCCTTTAAGCTGTAACATTTATATTTGTAAGGAATTTAATCTGAGTTTATTTCTCACTGCTTCTCTTTAAGACTGACCAGTCCCCGAATCCTTTCTGAAGCTCGGGGATGAACTGTTAGAGAGGGTCAGGAGCATGGAGACCCCCCCCCCAAGGAGGGCCACACAGGTTTTCCCTCCCTCTCCAGTGCTGCAGTCCACTCCAGCTGTGTGAAGTTTTTCTTCTCCTGTGCGCTTGAGTTTCTGTTGTGTGTTTTGAATATCTTCACTGAACTATATTGAAGGGGTACCACAAGAGGCAAAAAACAATTGGGAAGCACCCCCCACCCGCATTGTGAATTTGTCCCCAAATGTGTGAGTTCTAGCATTCCCCTCCCCCTGCTAGTGTCATGGTGGTAAGTGTGCCTGTAGCCTAGAGAACGCCACACTGCGCCATTGTTGTTGGGATGTTTTGATTGAAAGGTCTATTGAACACTCAGTTCCATTCATCCGAGACCCCTTTGAGGCAGCCCAGCCCTGCAGTCTGTGTGAAACCTGCAGTGGGACCTGTTGCCTTTGTGATTGAGATGGCCGCTGCCCCTTCCCTGGGGCTGGGTCTGTATGTGCCATAATTTCTGCTAAAACATTCTTTGGTACCACTTTTTTTTCTTTGCTTGTTTTCAAATAAAATTCAGAAAAGCACATAGAACAATGTTAAATATTGTATTTCCTTTCACCCCAAAGTAACACTAGTCATTTCAAGTAACTACCACTCACCTCCTGTGCGCATTGGTACCCTTTCCACATGGAGGCCACAGACTCAATTTGGGTTTCACCTCTTCCGAATTTTGGAGCCCTGATGGCACCCAGTGTCTGTCACATCACTCACACGGAGCCTGGAACCACCTGCGCGTAGCTCCAGCTCTCCTGTTTGAACGTGAAGCTCCACCGGAGTGCGGACTTGCTCTTTACTCCATCTGCAGCGTCTGGGGAAGGATCGCCAATGGTGGTGCTCAAGAAATGTGCAGGTTGAACTGAAGCAAGGGTGAAAGGCAGAGGAGACAGGAGACTGTGAATGTAGGGAGTGTGGGGTCAGGAAAGAGTCCTAGAGAGCTTACAGTCAAGGCGCGTCTGCCTGGAATTGGATCTGACAGTTTGTGGCACCTTGAGGGCTTGAGAGAAGAGCCATGTTTCAAATAAGTCAGTAAAAGGAATTATAGCTCATGCTCAGCTCACATGAGACTTGATGATAAATTCTGTTCAATTCTAAAGATTACAGACCTTCATCCCTTATTTCCAAAGAGAGAGCTGTAGAGACCCACGCATGTTTAGACCTGCTACACTAGTCAAGAAAAATCATGCAGAATAGGCTGGGCGCAGTGGCTCACGCCTGTAGTCCCAGCACTTTGGGAGGCCGAGGCAGGCGGATCACTTGAGGTCAGGAGTTTGAGACCAGCCTGGCCAACATGGTGAAACCCCATGTGTACTAAAAATGCAAAACAACAGCCAGGCACGGTGATGCACACCTGTAATGCCATCTACTTCGAAGGCTGAGGCAGGAGAATTGCTTGAACCTGGGAGGTGGAGGTTGCAGTGAGCTGAGATCGCGTCACCGTATTCCAGCCTGGTAACAGAGGAAGACTCCATCTCAAAAAAATAAAATAGGCCAGACACAGTGGCTCATGCCTGTAATCCCAGCACTTTGGGAGGCTGAGGTGGGCGGATCACCTGAGGTCAGAAGTTCAAGACCAACCTGGCCAACATGGTGAAACCCTGTCTCTACTAAAAATAGAAAAATTAGGCAGGCATGGTGGCGGGCTTCTGTAGTCCCAGCTACTCGGGAGCCTGAGGCAGGAGAATTGCTGGAACCCAGGAGGTGGAGGTTGCAGTGAGCCGAGATTGTGCTGTTGCACTCTGGCCTGGGCAACAAGAGCGAGACTTCATCTCAAAAAGAAAGCATGCAGAATTACCAGGGCTGTGTGATTCAAAAATGGATATGGAAGTCAGATGGCCTTGTGGCCACTATCAGAGCACCTCTCCTAAAATCTTGTTAAGTCGCCCGCCCCCCGCAACCACCCTTTATTTTTTTTCCTTTTGTTGAAACAAGGTCTGACTCTTTCGCCCAGGCTGGTGTACAGTGATGCAATCATGGTTCACTGCAGCTTTGACCTCCTGGGCTCAAGCCTGCCTCAGCCTCCCGAGTAGCTGGGACTACAGGCGCATTCCACCACACCTGACTAATTTTTGTATTTTAAAAAATAATTTTTCTCAAGCGTACCTGTCTTTTTTTTCTCCCTCCTCAAATCCTCCAGGAAATGGCGACTGCTGACAGGAAGTTTGGCATCCACCTCCCCCAACCTCCTGAGTGGACAGGGGCCCTGGGCACCACTTCAGAGGTCTGCCAGCACACGCTTGGCTTCTAGGGTAGAGTAGCCAGCCCATGGGTCTCTGCAGGCGGAGACTGAAGCACTTTCTGCCTTCCTGCTTTATAGCAGGAGATCTGAGAATTCCATTCACATCCAATCACAAGGAGCCCTCAGCGCTCTTTCTAGCTCTTTTGAGGAGAAAGTGTTATTTTTGTTAACTAAACCTTGAGTGGTCAGTGTTTGCAAAGCTTTCCAGTGAGATCTAACCTCGTATCATAGTTTTTGTGTGATGCTGAGCCCTGTAATTTCAAGTACAGTCATCCGTGGTATCTTGCGGGAGTTGGTTCCAGGACCCCCAGGATACCGGAATCCAAGGATGTGTAAGTCCTTGATATAAAGTGGTGTAGTGTTTGCATATAACCTATGCACATCCTCCCATATGCTTTTAAATCATCTCTAGGTTACAAGGTTACATATAATACCGTTCGGGGTCCCTGACTTCTCGCAACACCTAATACTATGCAAATAGTTCTTATACCGTATTACCTAGGGAATAATGACAGAAAAATAGTCTGTAGATGTTCAGTATAGATGCAACCATCCTTTTATTTCTGACATTTTGATCTGAGGTTGGTTGAATCCATGGAAGCAGAGCCTGTGGACGTCTGGGATCACAGACAGTCCCGTCGCTTAGGAATAGTGAAAGAGCATGAGCCACTCACTGGTTTAAATCTCACTTTCAGTAAGCCTTTCTCAAATGCATTTAAAAAGTTTTTCCAGTTGTTCTGAATTCAGCATTTTACTGGTTTGCGAATGTAGAGGGTGCTCTGGGAATAGAGCTTTGTGGCAATTGCTTATTAGATTTTAAGTTTAAGTTTTGCAATAAAAAGTGATTCAAGAGCCGGGTGCAGTGGCTCACACCTGTAATCCCAACACTTTGAGAGACTGACACAGGTGGATCACCGAAGGTCGGGAGTTTGAGACCAGCCTGACCAACATGGCGAAACCCCGTCTCTACTAAAAATACAAAATTACCCAGGTGTAGTGGCGCATGCCTGTAATCCTAGCTACTCAGAAGGCTGAGGCAGGAGAATTGCTTGAACCCAGGAGGCGGTGGTTGTGGTGAGCCAGGATCGCGCCATTGCACTCCATCCTGGGCAACAAGAACGAAACTCCGTCTCAAACAAAACAAAAACAAACAAGCTAGTCAGGTGTATAATCTGAGCTACTCGGGAGGCAAAGGCAGGAAAATCACTTGAACCCACTAGACAGAGGTTGCAGTGAGCCAAGATTGTGCCACTGCACTCCAACCTGGGTGACGGAGCGAGACTCCATCTCAAAAAAAAAAAAAAAAAGAATACTTTTAAGGGAACCTAAAGAGCAGTAAGAAAAGTCTGGTGTCTGTAAACTAGTCATACCAGTATTAACTAATGGTGGTGTGTGATTTCTTAGTAGATGTTAAGAAAATACTTTTGCTGGGTATGGTGGCTCATACCTGTAATCGCAGCACTTTGGGAGGCCAGGGTGGGCGGATCACTTGAGGTTAGGAGTTCGAGACCAACTTTGGCAATATGGCGAAACCCCATCTCTACCAAAAATACAAAAAATTAGCCAGCTGTGGTGGCGGGTGCCTGTAATCCCAGCTACTCAGGAGGCTGAGGTGGGAGGATCACTTGAGCCCAGGAGGCAGAGGTTGCAGTGAGCCAAAATCACGTCACTGCACTCCAGCCTGGGTGACAGAATAAGACCTTGTCTCAAAAAGAAAAAAAACAAAATACTTTTACCCTGTGTAGCTGTGCCAAAATCCTTGCACAGTGACAAGCTTTCAGGGCTGCCATCAGTAACTGGCATGTACTCTGTGCTTGTAGGGCCATGAAGCCCCCAGGAGGAGAATCGAGCAATCTTTTTGGAAGTCCAGAAGAAGCTACTCCTTCCAGCAGGCCTAATAGGATGGCATCTAATATTTTTGGACCAACAGAAGAACCTCAGAACATACCCAAGAGGACAAATCCTCCAGGTATGGGCCTTTGGAAATCCTTAATCCTTTGGCCTCTACGATTCTCTTTTGAAAATATTTTCTGTTTCTTTATACTGAGCCTTTCCCATATTTTCTGGTTCAGGTAATTACTTGTCATCAGAGTTCTTCCAAAATGAAAACGTTCTGATTTGTACTTTCTCTCTTGAAGGTGGCTTGAGTAGTCTTGAATTCTCCATCTGTTCTGGAGACTTTGGTTGAATGCAGGCACTGAGGACACAAAGGTGGACAAGGGCTTCTGGTTCCTGCCAGGGAGCCGCTCCCAGTTTTTCCATCGACCCCTGAGATTCCTGAAATTACGTGCAAATTATTGTGCATTTAAACATTTTTCCTAGGGAGGGAAAGTGTTTTTAATCGGATCATCAGTGGGATTGAAACTCTTAACAAGAAAGAATTGATCCAGCACACATCTACATAGTTCTTCAGTATTTACCCCACCTCCTGGTGGTTACAGTGGGAGGGACTCTTTGAAAAAGGTTTCTTGGCACTTTGGGAGGCTGAGGCGGGCGGATCACGAGGTCAGGAGATCAAGACCATCCTGGCGAACACAGTGAAACCCCACCTCTACTAAAAAAAAAATTAGCCGGGCGAGGTGGCGGGCACCTGTAGTCCCAGCTACTCAGGAGGCTGAGGCAGGAGAATGGTGTGAACCCAGGTGACGGAGGTTCCGGTGAGCCGAGATCGCACCACTGCACTCCAGCCTAGGTGACAGAGCAAGACTCCATCTCAAAAAAAAAAAAAAAAAAAAAGGTTTATCAGCTGGGTGCAGTGGCTCATGCCTGTAATCCCAGCACTTTGGGAGGCTGAGGCGGGTGGATCATGAGGTCAGGAGTTTGAGACCAGCCTGGCTGACATGGCGAAACTCCATTTCTACTAAAAATACAAAAATTAGCTGGGTGTGGCAGTGCACGCCTATAATCGCAGCTACTGAGAAGGCTGAGGCAGGAGAATCACTTGAACCCACGAGGCGGAGGTGGCAGTGAGCCAAAATCACGCTAGACTCCGTCTCAAAAAAAGAGAAAGAAAAAGGTTTCTCTTGGCTGATAGACTGTCCAGTTGAATAACCGCACAGTGGAGGTTACCTGCATGGCTTTCCCCTGTCTGTGCAGGAGGGGAAAGCACGGTCTCTTCCATTCTTAGAAGGTTTGAGAGGCCATGCTTAGGTGTCATTGTGTCAGGCAGGTCCTGAATCAGAGCCAGCTCCACTCCCGACCTCACCCAGTTTCGGGGTACCAATATTTCCTGACCAAATGTAGAGGAAAAAAAGCAGTAGATCCAGAAGCTAGCTTTTTCTTTTTTTTTTTCTGTTTTGAGACAGGGTCTCACTGTGTCGCCCCGGCTGGAGTGCAGTGGCACCATCATGACTCACTGCATGCAGCCTTGACTTCCGAGGCTCAGGTGACCCTTTTTCCTCGGCCTCCTGAGTGGCTGGGACTACAGGCGTATGCCACCATGCTTAGCTAATTTTTTTTGTATTTTTTGTGGAGACAGGGTTTAACCATGTTGCCTAGGCTGGTCTGGAACTCCTGGGCTCAAGCCATCTGCTCACCTCGGTCTCTCAAATTGCTGAGATTACAGACATGCACCCTTGTGCCCAGCCGAAGCTAGGTTTGCTGCTTGCCTTGTTTTGTTTTGTTTTGGTTTGGTTTTGGTCTGTTTGGTTGCTTTTTTGGATGTAGTTAGAGAAGTGAGTGTTTTTTATTAAGTGACTAACATTCTCATTGTTTCCGGTTTATGAATTTAGGCCCAAGGACTCCTGCATGTCCTTTTTAGAAAGGATAGCAGAATAATACATCGCATGCAAGACAGAATCCTAACTGAGGCGTTTCCAGGTGTATGAGTCTGCTCACTTGGCCGCTACTCAGCAGAGTCATGTCTGGAGCTGTCCCTAGAGCGCTCTGTGGAAGGCAGGTGGTACTACTTTGCCCATTCCACATAGTCTCATGCCCGGGGGGAGCCCAGCCCCTTGCAGCTGGTGAGCCAGCCTCCACTCCCGGTCACAGTGTGTGGTGTCAGCTATCATGGCTCCCCATGCCAGGTTCCTGCTTCTCACGGTCCTTCTCACGGTTGTTGTGAGTTTTTCTATCCCTGCAGTGTTCTTCGAAGACAGTTTATGATGTATTATCAAGGGAAGCCTGAAAGGGAAACTGGTCACCACCCAATGAGATCTGGAGTCCTGCCCTCTTTCTACACTTAGTCACACAGAACTAGCCCCACAGCCCTCTAGTTGCACGGCCTGATTGAGAAAAGTATGCAGAGGCTGAGTGTGTGTGTAACAGACCACATCATAGCCATCGGACATTTACCAATTCCCATTTAGTGTTTCAGTGAATCTTCAGTAGTCTCTGTGTTCTGTGTTGGTCGCCTGGTTTAGATGTTCCGTGAGGCCGGGCGCGGTGGCTCAAGCCTGTAATCCCAGCACTTTGGGAGGCCGAGACGGGCGGATCACGAGGTCAGGAGATCGAGACCATCCTGGCTAACCCGGTGAAACCCCGTCTCTACTAAAAAATACAAAAAACTAGCCGGGCGCGGTGGTGGGCACCTGTAGTCCCAGCTACTTGGGAGGCTGAGGCCGGAGAATGGCGGGAACCCGGGAGGCGGAGCTTGCAGTGAGCTGAGATCCGGCCACTGCACTCCAGCCTGGGCGACAGAGCAAGACTCCGTCTCAAAAAAAAAAGATGTTCCGTGAATTGTTTTTCCTCTTCTAGCATTGATGACTGACATCTATGAATTGTTAATATTTACCAGGGGCTGTGCTAAGTGCTTTGCATGTGTATTTTTCATTTGGTCTTTGCTGTAACTAGGAGTAGGTGGTTTTGCTCCTTTCACAGAGGAGGATACTGAGGCTTGGAAAAGGTCACTGGCATGCATAAATCCCAAGCTAGTCAGTAGCAGAGCTGGCCTTTGAATCGGGGTTTTTCTGACTCCAGATTCCATGCCTTAAACTGACCTCCTGAATGTATCCACTGGGATAAATTTTTCAAAATGGAATTGGTGGATCAGATGGTATATGAGTTAAAAATATGGATAGATATTTCCAACCAGTTTTTCAAGGCATTGCCCGGTGTTTACCTATCTTGTGTATGTGCTTATTTGCACCAATAGTATTTATCTTTTAGTTTTGCTTTTTAAAACAAATCTTGTAGGCCAGGTGCGGTGGCTCATGCCTATAATCCCAGCATTCTGGGAGGCTGAGGTGGGAGGATTGCCTGAGCCTAGGAGTTTGAAACTGGCTTGGGCAACATAGCGAGGCCCAATCTCCCAAATAAATAAATGATATTTTTAAAAACAAAATAACACAGAGCCCTTGGAAATCGAAAATCTAGCAGGAGGAGAAAATATCTCTCGAGGTTATATTCAATTATTAGTGAATTTAGGCATGTTTTCTTGCTTCAAAGCTGAATTTATGTTTCAAGTAAAATGGTAACAGACATATGCAGTATGACCTCCTAGTTAAGAAGGTCAGAAGCAGAGGTTCATTGTTTAGGGTTGCACGTATACGTGGTAAAAATGTTTGTGGTTTCCACAAAATTGAGGCGTGTGGTAACCTTGGGTGAGAGGGAAGGAACACAGGAGTTTCTGGGAACGGGCACTGTTCTCAGTGACCTGGGCATTGGTTACCTGGTGTCTACCCTGTAGTTATTTGTGATAGTTAATGTCTTACAGACTTTTCTGTGTTATCTTTCACAGTTTATTTTTTTTAAATGAGTGGTGTCTTTGGCCAAAAACTATCTTCTATTTTAAAAAGCTGGAGTCACGTTTAAAAAAAAAAAAAGTAAGCTGTTGTAGCACAGCCAGGAACGATGCAGTGGGGGCTGGGGGTTGCACACATAGTTTTCTCCGCCCCGCCCCGTGGTCCTGACGCGCTTGTTGACACAGCCCCGCAGCATTGCCAAGGGCTTACTCAGCAGGCCAGGACTGTTCTAACCACTTCACCTGAATTTACTTGTTTAAGCCTCACCGGTGACCCTAGGTAGGTATTATTATTTATTACTTTATTTTGTTTTGTTGGTTTTTTGAGACAGGATCTCAATGTGTCACCCAGGCTTCAGTGCAGTGGCAGAATCACAGCTCACCGTCTCCAACTTCTGAGCTCAGGCAATCCTCCCACCTCAACCTTCTGAGTAGCAGGACCACAGGCTAATTTTAAAATGTTTTTGTAGAGACAAGGTCTTACTTGTTTCCCAGGCTAGTCTTGAACTCCTGGACTCAAGCAGTCCTCCCACCTTGGCCTCCCACTGTGCTAAGATTACAGGTGTGAGCCGACGCACTTGGACTGTTTGTTACCTTTTTACAGTTAAGAAGATGGAGATGAAAGAAGGTTGACATAACTTGTCCAAGGTCTCACAGTTAATGAGCAGCTGAGCAGAGACTCTGACCCAGGCAGTCTGGCCACAGGACACTCCCCACCGTGCTGTGCTGCTTTCCCTGGCCAGGGGTTTCAAGCTTGGGGACTCTGGGTCCCTGGGAGGTCCATGGCTGAGGTTCAGAAGGTTTATAAACACCATGAAGTCATATGAAAAATGTACACATTTTTCTGCAGGGTGAGTCCCACATATCGCCGGATGTTCTTTTATCACCTGCAAAAGGCAGACACACTCCCGCCTGAGCCCCCACTTGCTGTACTGTGTTACAGTCCTCCTTGTCAATGCGCTCTGTGCTCCTAGAACTGGTGTCCCAGAAAGCCACCCTGCTTTAGGCCCTACCCCCGCAGTGGGGCCCTCAGGAGGGTCTGAAGATGAGCAGGTGCACAGACCCCCAGCCGAGCCTCATCTCCACACAAGCAGGCATGGGCTCTTCATCTGGTTGCTTCTGTGGAGCAGTGTGGATTGTTAACACTAGGAAGTAACCGTTAAAAATGTATTTTTTTCCTGTAACCAGATTGCTCTAACTATACACTGTGTGTGAAAAAAGTTGTAGTCCTGCTAAAAGCTCCTCTGTCGCTGCCTATATAAATGAAACTCTAATGTCCCTACTTCAGAACACCGACTCCATTCCTTTGGACTCGGTGTTTCCAGGTGGCTGTCCTCAGTCATTACACATGAATAAACTCTCTTTAAGTTAAATAAATCAATTTACAAAATTTAATTTTTCGAGAACAGAAAATGCAAAAGATCGGCCAGGCGCGGTGGCTCTAGCCTGTAATCCCAGCACTTTGGGAGGCCGAGACGGGCGGATCACGAGGTCAGGAGATTGAGACCATCCTGGCTAACACAGTGAAACCCCGTATCTACTAAAAAAATACAAAAAACTAGCCAGGCGAGGTGGCGGACGCCTGTAGTCTCAGCTACTCGGGAGGCTGAGGCAGGAGAATGGCGTGAACCCAGGAGGCGGAGCTTGCAGTGAGCCCAGATCGCGCCACTGCACTCCAGCCTGGGCGACAGAGCGAGACTCCATCTCAAAAATAAAAAAAGAAAATGCAAAAGATCAAAACTCTGTAAACAAAAAAAGGAGACTGTGTTAAGCAGTGTTGAGCCCCTGCATTCCCGCAGTCCTGTGTCTTCACACGTGTCGGTATCCCCTGTAGGTAACCGCTTTTCTTCATATAAAAGCAAATAAGAACACCTCCTGCTTTTACATGAAAACATTGCATGCTGTATGGATGGTTTTCACCCTTGTGTTTTCACTGGACAGGGCGTATAGATACCTCTTTATGAGTGCATAGAAAATAAGGTTAACGGCCGGGCGTGGTGGCTCACGCCTGTAATCCCAGCACTTTGGGAGGCCAAGGTGGGCGGATCACGAGGTCAGGAGATCGAGACCATCCTGGCGAACACAGTGAAACCCCATCTCTACTAAAAATACAAAAAAAATTAGCCGGGCGCAGTGGCGGGCACCTGTAGTCCCAGCTACTCAGGAGACTGAGGCAGGAGAATGGTGTGAACCCGGGAGGCGGAGGTTGCAGTGAGCTGAGATCGCGCCACTGCACTCCAGCCTGGGCGACAGAGCGAGACTCCGTCTCAAAAAAAAAAAAAAAGAAAACAGGGTTAACATGTTTATTTCCATGCCAGGCACTGTTGCAAGCATTTGACATATGGCTACAGTAACTCACTGAGCTTTCTTCCAGTCCTGTGAGGGAGTCCTTTTATTACCCCATTCCACAGATGAGGACTAGGGGACACACAAAGGCCAAGTAACTTTCACAGGATCACACAGCAAGTCAGCAGAATGCATCATCTTTCCTTTTAGATTGTAAGTTCTTGGTACACCAGGGGCATGATTTTAATGACACCAACCTCCGTTTAGCACTTTGTCAAAAGCGGGTGCTTGGTGTTTGCTGAGTGAAGAGGTGGTCCGTTGGTCCCACAGGGTAGCCATCTTTCTGTAGAACGTTGGGCACAGGCATTTATGCTGAACATCTATCCCTTAGTCACCTGCTACTAGGAAGTTACATCTTAGAGGCACACTTTCATTATGGCTTATCAAGTCACTTACAGTTGGCAACAAAGATGTTACGTGTCTGTAATTTGCAGACATATCTAGTCACTGGAAGTACCGGCCAGAATGAGGTCAGAAGAATGACTAATAAATATTTTCAGGGTGGCAGATTTCCCTTGAATAGGGCATGTTATTAAATTCAAAACTCTATCTCTGTGACTTAAACATTTAGCTGTTTATTTTTAATCTACTGAAGAACCCTTCATGGGTTTTTTGAGGAGCACCAACAGGAAAGCATGAAATGTTCAAAGTTAAGGAAATTCTAGAGGGAAAATCTGCATTTTGATGCCATCTCACCTCTAGAGGCCATCCTAGATCAGCTCAGTTCTAGACATGAGGGCTGCAGGCAGGCCCCTGATACAGCCATGGTTTTGACATAGATCTTCAGGGGTTTCGGTCTGAGCATCCTGCCCTGTTGGCCTGGAGCTCAGGGCTAGCACTAGGGGTTACTATGAGAGGAGGTCTGTAAAGCCCTGCAGGTGTGGGGTGGGCTCCGACGGACGTCTGGCTGCTCAGTGTTCTGTGATTGTTTCTGCAGGGGGTAAAGGAAGTGGTATCTTTGACGAATCAACCCCCGTGCAGACTCGACAGCACCTGAACCCACCTGGAGGGAAGACCAGTGACATTTTTGGGTCTCCGGTTACTGCCACTTCACGCGTGGCACACCCAAACAAACCCAAGGTATGGACTGCATTCCGACATGACAGAGCAGCAGCAGGTATGCCAGGTACTCTTTCCAAAAAGGCTCCAAGGCAGATGTGACATGTTTTTAGGGAGAATCATGGTGGGTGACGTGGATTGTCCTGGATGCAAAAGCATTAGTCATCGAGTTTGGAAGTTCCCCTGCATCACCCAGGAAACAGTCCAGCCTTGTGCTGACTGAAGCCGTGGAGGAAGCTGTTCCTGTGCCGGTGGCGGATGCCCACTGCCCACGGGCTGCGGCGGCTCCTCACTGCAGCGCTGTGGGGCGCGGAGAAGAGATGGAACAGAACGTGCAGCAGAGGAGCCGGGCCCTGTCCGTCTTCCACTCTTCCTGTTTCATCTTGGAAAGGAAAAGCGACAGTTCTTTTTTGATGGGCTTTTCCCCACACAGTTGAGGTCCTCAACTGGTTACCTGTGCAGATTGTCAGCACTTGACTAAAGCTAGCTGACGCCTCTGACCCAGTAATGGCATCAGTAGAATAAGATAAGTGACCTGGAAAGGAGAGGAACGCCTGAGCAATGTGACCTCAGGCATGGCCTTAGCAGGGATTGATTAGATCTGCAGCCTCCCTGGGCTATGGTGGAGGGCTTGCCTAAGGCCGGTCTCAGCTTCCCTGGGACCAGAGCCTGCACTGCCTTAGCTTGGACATTAGTTTGAGTGGTGGCATAACATTTCTAGGGTTTACTGCAGCCACCATTCGTCAGTAAGAAAGGCCAGGATTTATTACTAACATAATTAGCAATATTTTTTAATATGTTTATTCACTTTTCTACCTTTTTTGTGGTTAAAAGATATGGTCTAGTTCCCTAAAGCAGAAAATTCTTAAAATAAAATTCGTAACCATTTCTAGAGTTACTTAAGCTTAGAAAACTGCTGCACGTTTATCGGTTTATATGCTGGAAGATGGCCCATTGAAGAATTGAAATGGAAATGTAAACAGAAAGGAGAGGACATGACTGGATGAGAGTGTCGACTGCGGCCAGCCTGGTTTAGATTGCCCTACATCTCTCTTGTGCTGGCGTCTCTGCAGCGACATCTCTTTCCATTGTAAAGTCTCATAGGACCCGTTAGACTCTGCTGAGGTTTGGTTGGGTTTTTTTGTTTGTTTGTTTTCTTTGAGACAGAGTCTCATTCTGTCGCCCAGGCTGGAGTGCAGTGGCACGATCTCAACTCACTGCAGCCACTATCTCCCGGGTTCAAGCAATTCTGCCTCAGCCTCCCGAGTAGCCAGTATTACAGGCGTGCACCAACATGTCCGGCTAATTGTTGTATTTTTAGAAGAGATGGGGTTTCACCATGTTGGCCAGGCTGGTCTTGAACTCCTGGCCTCAAGTGATCCACCTGCCTCAACCTCCCAAAGTGCTGGGATTACACACGTGAGCCACTGTGCCCAGCCATGCTGTCTGAGTTATTTTCAAGAGAGCATCTCTTTGGGAAGTATCTTTGGGGGCTTTACTACAAGCTGAACTTTGGCCGGATCAGAAATGTCCTAAAAGTCAGCAATTCGGCCGAGCGCAGTGGCTCACGCCTGTAATCCCACCACTTTGGGAGGCTGAGGCAGGTGGATCATGAGGTCAGGAGATCAAGACCATCCTGGCTAACATGGTGAAACCCCATCTCTACTAATAAAAAGGACCTGGGCGTGGTGGCGGGTGCCTGTAGTCCCAGTTACTTGAGAGGCTGAGGCAGGAGAACTGCTTGAACCCAGAAGGCAGAGGGCGCAGTGAGCCAAGATCACGCCACTGCACTCCAGCCTGGGAGACAGAGTGAGACTCTGTCTCAAAAAAAAAAAGTGAAAAGGCAACCCACAAAATGGGAGAAAATATTTGCAAATCATATTTGATAAGGGGTTACTATCCAGAATATATAAAGAATGCCTAGAACTCAACAACAAAATAACAAACCCGATTCAGAAATGGCAGTAGACTTGAATGTACATTTCTCCAAAGAAGAGATACAGGCAGCCAAAAAAACACCTGAAAATATGCACAGCGTCATTAGCAATTGGGGACATGCACATCAGAAACCCGTGAGATGCCAGTGCATGCCTGCTCGGATCGTGTGATGTAAAAATGGAAAATAAAAGTTGGTGAGGATGCAGAGAAACTGGAACCCTCATGCATTGCTGGTGGGAATGGAAAAGCATGCAGTGGCTTGGATACTGCCAGTTCCTCAGAGTTGAACAGGATTACCACATAACCGAACAATTCTGCTCTTAAGTATGTACTCAAAAGACTTGAAAACAAGGAGTCAAACACTAGATCCTTGCACCAGGATTATTCACAGCAGCCCGAGGGCGGGGATGACTCAGTTGTCCATCCACAGGTGAATGGGTAAACAACATGTGGTCTGTCCATACAGTGGAATATTAGAGGAATGGAGCATTGACACACGCTGCAGCATGGATGAACCTTGAAAATATTATGCCAAGTATTTAAACATTTGACTTTGAGGCTGGGCACAGTGGCTCACGCCTATACTCCCAGCACTTTGGGAGGCTGAGGCAGGCGGATCACTTGAGCCCAGGAGTTTGAGACAAGCTGGGCAACGTGGCAAAAACCATGTCTCTACAAAAAATACAAAAAATAGCCGGGTGTGGTGGCTCACGCCTGTAGTCCCCACTACTTGGGAGGCTGAGGTGTGAGGATCGCTTCAGCCCAGGAGGTAGAGGCTGCAGTGAGCCGAGATCACAGCACCGCACTCCCACCTGAGTGACTGAACAAGACTCTTGTCTCCAAAAAAAAAAAAAAATTGACTTTGATATTTAAGGAATCATTAATATTTGGAGTTCTGAGGGTGTTATTGTTATTTTTTAGAGGATGTTTTAAGAGCTGCATCTTGAAATATGTATGGATAAATGAAATACCACATTTGTTTCAGAATAATCTGTAGAGGGTTTGGGGGAACTGAGGTCAGATGCACAAACATTTTTGTAAATTAAAAGATTATATGCCCTGGTTTTCATTGTCCATTTCAATGAGGGTAAAATTTTCTGAGTGAGTCCTGACTTGGTGGTTTGCCTGTTGCAGGATCATGTTTTCTTATGTGAAGGAGAAGAACCACAGTCGGACCTGACAGGTGAGCTTGTGTTTTCTTTCCCTTCTCTTCAGTGGCCTCATTCTTTCTGGAAGAGCTGCTGCTGTGTCCCCTGAGAATGAGGGTCTTTCTCTGCACCTTCCAGGCTACCTGATTAAAATAAGCTCGGGTGTGTCCACTGCAGGAGGATTCAGCATTTGAAGAAGGCTGGGGTGAAACCTTGGGACTTTGCGGTCTTGCTCATCAGCCTAGGCCCAGGGCCATGGGGTCGTCTCCCAGAAACGGATCTGTGTAGTGAAGGGCAGGCATCCCAAACTTACAGTGAACTCAAGGCCAAGCGCAGAGCTGGCAGAACTAATCGAGAAGAGAGGGGCCCGGGGAGGGGTGGGGGATGGGGAGGCGGGTGTCTCCATGGTGGGTCACCCTGGGGAGCGAGCCACTGCTCAGGCTGAGCGGCAGACTTCGACTCTCCCTGCGGCTCTTCAGCCTGACCGTGGGCATCGGTTTCTGCCTGTGGGTCTCCATTTCCCTTAACTAATGACCAAGATTTGTGGGATTTCATTCACCTTGGAAAAGTCCAGGGTAACAGCCACAGGGCCTGCCTTTGCCTCGCTAAGCCCTCAGCTAGGACACATTTGCTCTCCTCATGGTCACTCTCAGGGAGCTTGAGATGGAAGAGATGGTGTCTAACAAGCAGTATGAAGAAACAGTTCACTTAGGAAGAAATCTAGGAGTATTTACAGTAGGAAGCCCCAACTTTATGCCCATTTCAAAACTGCATCTGCTAATTGCAGTGAGTTGTTTTGGTACCAGATGAAAAGCCTGTCTGTATTGTCTTCTCTTTCCCAGTTACAGCGTGAATTTCTTGCAAGTTGCTCTATGACACACTGTTTATTTCCACAGCCTGCCTGTCAGGGTCACGGGTTGCCTCTAACGCGATGGTGTGCTAACTTTGTGTCCCACAGCAGCAACAAGCATCCCAGCTGGAGCACAGCCAGGTGAGAAAGGCAGCGCCAAAGAAGCAGGCCTCGCCAAGGAGCAGGAGCCCACGCCCACAGTCGACAGCCATGAGCCCCGGCTGGGGCCGCGGCCTCGCTCTCACAACAAAGTCCTAAACCCACCGGGAGGCAAATCCAGCATCTCCTTCTACTAAGAGAAGCCACTGCTCCACCCGGAGCCAGACCAGAAACTCAAGAGATAGGGTAGCAATGTTTTCATTTCCTTTTGCCCAAATGAGCGGGGTGGGAAGAGGGTTAGTCGTGTGTGAGCCTGGCTGCTCAGCGTCTCCACGGCTGTCTTGAGAGCTGCCTGGAGACCCGTGCCTTCCAGACGGCTGGGAGGTGCCTCTGTGGGGATGAAATGGGGCACCCCTAACCATCGCTCGTGTGTAGGCCAGGTTTGAGAGGAACTGGAAGGGGGGTGAGGGTGGGGAGGTGGGGCAGGGCATGGTCCTTGGATCGAGAGTCTGCCAGCTGACTGGATGTCTAGGAATGACTGAAAGAAACCAAAACAACCTGTCTGCCGCTGCTGTTCAATGGAGGAGGCGTAAGCAGAAACACTAACAGTATATTGCCCTCTTAGCAGAATGGCTTCCATTCTGGAGATCACGGCTGCTAAATCCAGCGTCCCCACTTCATTTTACCCCCAGCGTATTTGTTCTGCAGTCTTTTCTTGAAACATCTTGATTGCTTTTCCTCGGCAGCTTTCAAAAAACCAAATAGTTGTTATCTGTCTTCTGCTTTATGGAAGACTTTTTTGGTGCCCTGACCCTCTGAAGTGCCCAGTTCCTGCCATCTGAAACCTTGGCCTGATCTGATCTCATGTCAGAGGGCTGGTCTTGGTCCTTTACATGCCAGTTTTGCTTGTGAGTTCTTCCTTTTTCCCTCTTATCAGCCTTAAGTCTAGGCCTCTGTTGTTCTCCAATGAGGTAGACAGTTCCCTTCACAAGCCACAGTTCTTCCCATAAATGAGGCCTACTGACCTCTGCGGGACTTTCCAAATCTATTCAGATACATATGAGTAAGTGGCTTATTTAAGTTCTTCCTGTGTCTGTCTTTATTCCTTAATTGGTTGGTGGAAAGAAGAGATGCTTGGGAACCTTGGGTTCTTAGGTTTGAATTCTTTAATAATATCTAAAAAGCTATTTTTAAATACCAGCTTTACATAAATGATTGTTGACTCTGGTCTGTTTCTGACACCTTTCCAGAAAAAAGTCAGTTGTACAGGTACACCAAAGAGGAAGAAGAGCTGTGTAGGCCACCCTCTACAAAGCTTTATAGAACCTCTGGATCTAACTCACAAACAAGCTTCCGGAAGAGACGACAGACCTTAGGCCAGGAGATGAAAGAGTTCAGTAGCAAAGTCACACCTGTCCAATTCCCTGAGCTTTGCTCACTCAGCTAATGGGATGGCAAAGGTGGTGTTGCTTTCATCTTCAGGCAGAAGCCCCTCCCCATCTCCCTAAAGGGCTGCAAGCTCAGTTCTTATGCTCTCCTTGGGTGGGCATCTGTTAACAGAGGAGAATGTCTGGGTGGTGGCAGCTTTGCTCTGAGTGCCTACAAAGCTAATGCTTGGTGCTAGAAACATCATCATTATTAAACTTTAGAAAAGCAGCAGCCGTGTCCAGTGAGGCTCACGCTGCCTCAGTGCTTAAGTGCCTGCAGACGCTGCCTGCCAAGCTCCCCTTCCTACACCTGGCACGCTGAGGGGTCTGCACAAGGCTTTGTCAACCAAAGACAGCTCCCCCTTTTGATTGCCTGTAGACTTTGGAGCCAAGACACACTCTGTGTGACTCTGCATACACCTCACGTGGTTTAGCTACACCTCACGTGGTTTAGCTTCAAAGTCATTGATGCAACTTAAAAGGAAACAGTTTAATGCTGGAAATGAACTACCATTTATAACTTTTTTTTTTTAATTGAGAAAATGATTCACGAATTCCAAATCAGATTGCCAGGAAGAAATAGGACATGACCGTACTGGGATCTGTGATTCTCCCAGCCCCTGCTGTCCACTAGGTGAGAGGAAAAACTCTTTACTTCTGCCCCTGGCAGGGACTTCTGGGTGATGGGAGAAACCAGAGATGGGAATGAGGAAAATATGAACTTTAGCAGAAGCCTCTGGGCAGCTGTGACGGAGCCCCTGACGTTACTTTTCTCGCATCTGTCCCGCCTTCTTTCCCTCTGCGAGGCTGTGGGGCGGGATTCAGAGTGCTTAGTCTGGTCACTGGGAGAAGAGGAGTTCCTGCACATGCAAGTCCTGCTCTGTGGCTGTCATTTGCATTTGGGAGGTGTTCTGTACGTCTGTATGTTGGGGACTGCCTGTATTGGAAGGTTTAAAAACCTAGCATCCTGTTCTCACCCTCTAAGCTGCATTGAGAAATGACTTGTCTCTGTATTTGTATTAAGCCTTAACACTTTTCTTAAGTGCATTCGGTGCCAACATTTTTCTAGAGCTATACCAAAACAAAAAGCCTGTACTCACATCACAATGTCATTTTGATAGGAGCGTTTTGTTATTTTTACAAGGCAGAATGGAGTGTAACAGTTGAATTAAACTTAGCAATCATGTGCTCAGAGCCTTTGCTGTCAGTTGTGTGTGTCCCTTACAGTCCCTTCCCCCACAGCTCTTCTTGCTGAAAGGGTTTGCCTGTTTGTTTTGTTTTGCATTTAGCCAGAGGATGCCAAAATTAATCTTCTCAAAGCTTTGAGTACAATAATTGGGGGAATAAGCCAGCTTTGTTTTCTGTTTCTGTAACTTAAGTGAAGGGTTTTTTCCCCCTTGTATACCACTTGTCCTAACATATCCTTAAAGTGTTGAACCTGCCTCTGGCCTGGCCTGCAATGCGTAGGTCAGGAGAAGCAGAGAGCTTGTCATGTTCAGGTCCTGTCAAGAAAACAGGTGGGCATGGTGACTCGGGCCTCTAGTCTTTGGGAGGCCAGGGTGGGAGGATTACTTGAGCTCAGGAGTTTGAGACCAGCCTGGACAACATACTGGGACCCTGTCTCTACAAAGAAACTTTTTTAAATTAGCCGGGTGTGGTGGTACATGCCTGTAGTCCCAGCTACTCTGGAGGCGGAGTGAGACAGGAGGATCCCTTGAGACCAGGAGGTTGAGGCTGTAGTGAGTGATAATCATGCCACTGTACTTCAGCCTGGACCACAGAGCAAGACCCTGTGTCAAAAAAAGAAAAAAAAAAAATTGAGTTTCTTTCCTTCTGATGTATTAGCTGTTTTCATATGTCCTCAGACATACTTAATATCCTTACAGGCATTATGTGGATTCAGGGTAAACGTCTTAGACTGTGAGCCTGAGAGTCCCTCTCTAGAAGGCTCCACACCATTCTGCCTGCTAGATCGGGGCCAGATGAGATTAAAGTCAATGCTTGAGAAAGAAAACCAACATGCATTAACTGAAACACCATTTCCACTTGTTCATCTACAGGGTGTAGACCGAATTCCAAGAACCCGGCTAGGCAATGACACACTAAGTTTCCTATTTCTAGCGGCTGCCAAAGCCATCAGCAAGCATGGAAACCTCTGAGAGTCTCAACTCCTCTGTCTCCAGAGGCCTGGCACTGGCCAAGTCTAGAAGGATGCAGGGTGGTGCCACCTGGTACAGGGTGAGGGTGTGAAGAACAGACCTCGAAGGGTTGCCACCTGAAGCCCCGTGCCTTGTCCAGGAATACACAGGCTCTTTTGATGGCAGATAACTTTGCCGTATGATCTTTGTGGTGTGCCCTGTGAGCGTGTAGATGCCTCCTCCCGTGCTGGCTGCTTAATTTCTTTTGCGCTCATAATCCTTACCATCTTGAAGATCATCATTGAAATATTCCTGTTTTATGTGTGGCTACAAAGTGCTATCTAAAGATGCTCTCGGCCGGGCGCGGTGGCTCAAGCCTGTAATCCCAGCACTTTGGGAGGCCGAGACGGGCGGATCACAAGGTCAGGAGATCGAGACCATCCTGGCTAA